AGTGGGTAGGGCATTTGCCTCTCATGCGGCTGACCTGGGCTCCATCCCCAGCATCCCATATGGTCCCCCAAGTACCACCAGGAGTGATTCCTGAGTGCAGAGCCAGGAGTAACCCCTGAGCACTGTCAGGTATAGCCCCAAAACAACCAACCAGACAATAAAGCAGCTTGTTTGGGCCAAGGCTTTCCTGATCTCATTCTCATGTGGTGTCAGGGATCAGACCATCTCCACCTAGTACTATTTATTGTGGTCCCACAGCAAAACAAACCAAATTAAAATAAATCAGTTTTTAAAAAAAGATAAAGAAAAAATTTTTTAAAATCATGTTTCTAATTTCAGATCACTGATTTTGAAACTTACTGTCTCATTTGGAAATTACCTAATCTCTAAAATATTTAAAAGGGCTGGAACAATAGTACTGTGGGTAGGGCATTTGCCTTGCATGGAACCAATCCGGGTTCAATCCCTGGCACCCCATATGGTCCCCCAAGCTCACTAGGAGTGAACCCCCTAATACAGCTGTGTGTGACCCCAAAGCATATACAATATACATATACAAAGCATATACAATATATATCATATGTATGTATGTATACATACATATGGGACTGGAGCAATGATAGCACAACGGTAGGGCATTTGCCTTGCGTGCAGCCTGCTCAGCTGAGCTAGGTTCGAGTCCTCCACCCCTCTTGGAGAGCCTGGCAAGCTACCGAGAGTATCTCGCCTGCACAGCAAAGCCTGGCAAGCTTCCCGTGACGTATTCAATATGTCAAAACACAGTAACAACAAGTCTCAAAAATGGAGACGTTACTGGGCCCACTCGAGCAAATCGATGAACGGGAGGACAGTGTGTGTGTGACATATATATACATACATACACTCATATATATATATATATATATATATATATTTAAGTGAAGCACATACCTCATGAGCTATTTTTCCTTAGAACAAAATAAGGAAGGTACTCGGCTGGCACTTCTAACCTTTAATTACACAAGAGCAGATGGGCAGTTTCAGATTGTGCAGTTCACATCATAATTAAGCATTTCACTCAGAAAGAAGAAAGAAGTCCCCTAGAAACCTGTCTGTTAAGATGTGAGCCAGGTGCCTGGTGGGGTGAACAGGTCACCTCTGCTCTGGTCTCGGGCTCCTTATCATCAGAAGGGATAGCAGAGATGGGACCTCCCTGACGAGGAAGCCCTGGGGATGTGTTTGATGTGTTTTGTGCAAGGCTCTCTCTCAGAGCCATTTGTTTAAAAAGTGAGTATTGGTTTTATCTTCAGACATTAGTAGTAGTGATAGATTTTAGTGGATATATCCTTAGGGTTGTGTGTGTGTGTGTGTGTGTGTGTGTGTGTGTGTGTGTGTGTGTGTGGTGAGGGGGGAAAGGGTGCTGGCAGGGGTCTATGGAGAGACAGTCTTATTGTAAAATTTGTTAAACTGAGGAACACCAGCTCTTAATACCTTCTGCCCTTGAAAAAAAATCATTGCCTTGAACTTGAAAAAAATTCTGCACCGCCAGCACTAATGTTTTTGCTTTCTCCCAGTTCCTTCACACATCAGCAACCCCTTCCTTCCTGTTGGACTGTGGAACTGCTCTCTGCCAATTTTCATGACATTTCACATGGTAGACCAGTGTTTCCCAATGTAAATGCAGAGGGAAACACATTTATACAAAGTTAATAAAAATATTATACTAAATTCTAATCATTGTGAATTGAGATATTTTTACATTTTTTTAAAATACCAGTTATTCTCAGGAGGTGGGTGTGCTATTGGAATAATGTATATATGAAGCCCTTCCATTGATGTATTGTAAAAATACTACTTATTGGGCTGGGAGATGGTAAGTGGTGAAGGTGCAGGCCTGGCAGGTGGCCCCGGGGATGCCCAGCAGTGCAGGGCCCGAGCAGCACCATGTTCTTGGCCCTTTAGCTAAAGTCTGGCTCAGTTGGCTGAGAAGCACTGGGGTCCTAGGACCTCTAGACACTTCCTACCCTTCCACCAATATGAATTCTTCCCAGTCTGATGTGATGTGTCTCAACACTTCTGCACATGCCCATCTGGACTCAAGACCTTCTATACCCAATTCCACAGGTGACTAATGGCCATTTGTACTGAGGACTTCTTGGAGTCTCTGTGATTCTATGTCCCACAGTTCCCACTATAGGAGATATATAAATGACATGAGGAGCCCAGTTCTGCCTTCAAAGGTGGGGGTAAGCATGCAAGGGCATTTGTCCAAACTGTTAAGATGGTGACATTAGATTCCACGCCATCAACCACAACATTCTGCTCTCATCTCAGAAACAAATCGTGGTGACAGACATCAAATAGATGTGACTGGGCTTCCATCTCTGTCTCTGTACAGGTGGATGCGGAACTGTTCTCAGAATACATCTGGGGTCTTTCCAGTCTAGGGCACAACATCCCAGTTGATAAACCAGTTTCAAAATAGTGGGGTAAAAAAAAAAAGTTGATTATAAATACATGGCAAATTATCATAAAGGCATTTGTACTTCCTAGTACAAAATAAGTCTTTCAGATACATTAATGGTCACACAGTCTGAACTTGGCTTCTCTCCAAGGAAGGTACTACTTCTTAGCTGAGTAGATCCAGGCTGACAGCGGCTTCTGCCCACAACCCTTACAACTCTAGAGCCAGATGTATCAGCATCTACCTGCTCTGGGTCTTGTTTCAGTTCAAAACATCTCTTTTATACTTCCTTCTAGGATCATAAGAGGGGTGGGAAATACTTCTGGTTTGGATTTCAGCAAGGTAAGGATGCAAATGTTCCCCTTCCTCCTAATCCTTGTGCAATTGTCAAATTATGAATTGGCCAACTAGCTCCTTATTTCCCGGAAGGCTCTGAGCCAAGGCCAAGGAAGTCAAAAGCAAAGCAAAGCTTTTTTTTCCATTACTTTAAAAAAACTATTTTGGGGCTGGAGAGATAGCACAGAGGGTAGGGTGTTTGCCTTGCACGCAGCCAACCCGGATTCAATTCCCAGCATCCCATATGGTCCCCTGAGCACAACCAGAAGTAATTCCTGAGTGCAGAGCCATGAGTAACCCCTGTGCATTGCCAGGTATGACCCAAAAAGTAAAAAAATAAAAATAAATTAAAAAATTCTAAAAATTATTTTTATTGAATCACCAAAAGGTAGTCAAAAAGTTGTTCATCACTGTTTCTTTCACACAGTGTTCCAACAGCCACCCCTTCACCAGTGTACATTTCCTTCAAAGTCCCCAGTAATATCTTGGCTTTATAGCCATGCTGCCTTCTGGCTAATTGTTTATCCCCCTTTTAAAATTGTTGTATTGTTCCCACAGCACCTCAAATCATCCTAGGGACATGGTGCTATTCTCAATCTGTCCTAGGCATCTACCTTTGTAATTGGGGCAAATCACCAAATCACCATCAGACTGCTGACCTTGCTACACAAACCTATTCTAAGACTGGCCTAGAACAGCGTGATACAGTAGCATATGGGACCCATTCTGTCCCCCTGGGAATGTCTCCTTGCAGCTGGATCAAATCTCCGTCAAGCAGAAGAGTCTTCAACCACACACCTCTCAAGACCAGCCTCGAAGCACCATTAATAACAAGCAAGGTGGGGGAGATCAGCACCTGGAGTTCTTAAAGACTTAATTTTTCTAAAGAACTGTGATTTACAGTTATTGATAGTTGGGGGGGAGCGATAGCACAGCGATTTACCTTGCACGCTGCCAGACTGGCTGACCCAGGTTGATTCCTCCACCCCTCTGAGAGCCTGGCAAGCTACCCGTGATATATTCGATATGCCAAACACAGTAACAAGTCTCACAATGGAGACGTTACTGGGCCTGCTCGAGCAAAATTGATGAACAATGGGAGGACAGTGCTACAGTGCTATTGATAGTTGAGTTTTAGATCTCACTAATCTGTGATATATATAGAATATTGGAAATGGAGATGCCTAGAACACTGTTGACCCCATCATTCAGAAAGGACAGAAGATGGGGGTGGGGGAAATAACTGGAAATTAAGATAGTTCATTTTTTGAGACCTTAGGTTAGAAAAAAAGATCTTCCCATCATTTTCTTTTATAGCCATAATTAGTGATTCTCTTCATGCCTGAGCTCTTCCCTTGGAACTAATAAATCCGCTTCACAGCTCCATTCAACTCCAGATCTGTTTCACTTCTCTACAGGGCACTTGTGTACAAAAGAGTGGCCAGACAGTTTAATCACATTGGCTTCTTTCCAGTCCAGGTTTAGCTCTACAGCATGTGCTGTGCTCAGGAGGGCAAACGAGAGGGCCAGCCGCAGCTTCTTTTCCTGGGGAACTTATTTTACTTAACCAAGGGCTGAGACAAATTGGAATGACATGAAGTTAATAAGGCATCAAACCTGGAACCAGGGAAAGGGGCTTTGGGGAAGGTAGGACTTGCTTCTACAGGTTAGATGCATAACCAGCACCTGGGAAGCAGCCAGGATCCTGCAGGCAGGCCCCAACAGGCTGAGCTTCAACCTATTACCAGCAGTGACTCAGCCAAACTTGGCTCATCCTGGCTTCCAACAATAAAGGACGGCTCATACTAGCTTTTTTTTTCAAGATATGAACCCATGTTTAAGAAAAGCACCGGAGCCTTACTTCATTCCATTAATTCTCTGGCTAGCCATTAACAGCCAAGGCCAGTCTTGTCTTAGAGTGATAAAGTACTGGAACGATCAGTTATAGGGCATATAGCAGTAATTGTCACTCCATTTTTTGATACCATGTGGCCACTAGTGACAATAGATCATGGGTAAGTGCCAGTCCAGAAGAGCTCGTTCTATCTCTCAGTATTTATTTCTCAAACATTTATCCTAAATGGTTTGTTTTTGCCACTTTCAGTATTTCAACAAAACAAATTCTGAACCTAGACTGGCTTTGCCAAAGACATACCACACAGGATAATTTATAAAAATTTTATTTATTTAAAAGTAATTCACATTTAATATCACCACCAAATCTGACAAAGGTTAAGCTCCAGCATCATTATGGGATGCAGAATCGTACCCCCACCCTTTTTGTAACCATCCTGGTTCCTTAGAAGACCATCAGTGGCCCCCTTTTCTTCCAGTTTTGGACCACAGCTGGCTGTAGTCAGGCTAACATATGTGGTGCTGAGGATTGAACATAGAGGGGTGGCTGCTGCAAGGCACAGACCATACCCGCCCAGAATACAACAATCTTATCTTTTGGGTCAACTTAAATATATCAATGCTCTGTACTCAGTAATTTTTGAGAGCATATAAACCCTAAGTCCTAGAACTTTAATAAACCAACACATGATCTTGGCACTGTATGGCACCAAGATCAATGCTGAGTGGGCATTTCCCTAAATAAAACAGCTGGGGCATGATCCAAAAATAAAACGAAGATAGTTGTAAAATTCAGGATACTGCCAGTTCCTTAAAAAGATTGCTTTAAAGAATTTTAAATCAATAGAAATTCATTATGAGGGAGATACAGGATACAGTTTTATCTTGGACATTTGGCACCTGCTTAAAAGTTTGCTTTTGGATCACACCCAGCAGTGCTCAGGACTTAGCGGTGCCAGGGATTGAATCCATGCCAGTCACGTTCAAGGCAAGTTCCCTACCTGCTGTTCATCTCTTGGGCCCCTGACCTGCTAAAAATTAATTCGACACCTCCCCACCATGAAGAATAAAGAGCAAAAGCTGTCTTCTGCATGTATCAGTCGTCACATGGTCAAATCACCCACTACTTGAAAAGCTTCTTTCAAATCCATTTCTTCGTTTCAAGCCCCAGATCTGTAAAAGTAGTATCACGGTGGGCAATTAGATTGGCAGCTATTAAATAAGACTTGCTATCAGGACATGTTTCTTAGCTTTCTAAAATACCTGTTCACAAAATCTATGGTAAGTCGAAGGGACCACCAACATACTACACACAAACCCACTAAGGCTCTGGGTAATAAATAGCTTTGTGCACGTGTAAGTCTAGGGGATTGAGCTTGGGGCTCCTCACACCCCCAGGTAAACATTCATATGCAAAACTGAGCCAAATCTCTGGCCTCCATAAAACATTTGGGGGTATGAGGTTTTGGGTAATACCCAGCAGTACAATGTACCAGCCCTTTGAGCTGATTCAAACACCAACTCAAATATTTTACAATTCTGTTGCTGAAACTTTAATCCAAAGATAAACAATTTCAAGGGCTCAGGAGATGGACCTGGGGTTCCTGGCAAGTTAGGAACCCATCTTTCCTAAAATAACCATTTATCCCAATATTTTTCTAAAATATATTACTGGGGGATGGGGAAAATCAGCAGGTCACTGCAGCTAAGGCGCTGTCTGTAAAGTTGGCCTCAGGTAAATCCTTTAACCCATCAGAATGGAAGTACATCCATCAGATTGAGTTCTCATCCTTGGCCAAGAATCCCATTGTAATTCAAATTCAAGCCAGATTCTTCCCATTTGGTCCATACCTAAGTCCATCAGAATCTTGACCTCTTGAGCCTGGTGGAAAAGAATAATGTTAATATTGTGTTAATAATTTATGACTTTTTTTTTGCTTTGTGTTTATCATGGAACCCTGCCGGCTACCTTTGACAACTGTAAACCTTTGGAATAAAAATCCTTTAAAAAAAATTATGTTCTCCAGTCACCATCTTTCCAACTTTGTTACATTAATAGTACAGATTAAAAAAAAATTAAACTGGCAACCACCGGAAACGCTGAAACAGACGTAACTGATTAGAAAACCAAAGGAAGCTGGAAGCTTGTTTACTGCGAGCAGGGCAGGAGCGCTGCCAGAAGAGAATGGTGCTCAGCCCTGCTCCTCTGCGCTACCCTTAAATAGACACTAGCGCAAGCTGCTGGCAGCCTGCTTGTCTGGGCTGGGCTCAAACGGATTTGCTCAGCCTTTCTTGAGTGGTGGGGGTGGGGGGCACACCCGGTGCTGGGGACTTACTCCTGGCTCTGCTTCTCAGTCAACATTCCCGCAGGGAACCCGTGGGGTGCCAGACAGCGATCGAACCCAGATCGGATGCAGAGAAAGAGCTTTCTGCACTGTACTATCTCCCGCTCCCTGATTCAGCAGCTGCACAATTAATTGCCCATTGCAATTCCTGTCTCTTGGGACAAGGATCCATAAGCTTTGGGTGCCTGGAACGGCGCCTGCAACACTACAGCCCGTTAAAAACCCCACGCCGTCCAATAGTGTGGAGTGCAATAAAATGGGTGTTCCGTCCGTTTTCCTCTTCTAAGAGGTGCTGTGCTAACAGCTCCGAAGCAGGAAACCCTACAAACCTCAGATCTTACCGTTAAACTAAGTAGCGCCTATAAACTTCAAAGACTCCTTCACTTTAGATCTTTGGAACGTTCTTATTAAAATCCGCGGCACGACTTAACTAAAATCTGCTTTGTCCAGCAGGGTGTACGAGAAGTCTCGGGGCGGGGCCGGGCTTGCGCACAGCCAGGCAACCCCACCTTCCCACGAACATCGGTGTCACTTGTGCTAAAAAGTTCCATAGGAGGAAACTTTCATTTAACCTAATACCCAGCTTAAATTTAAGTGCAGCTTTGGCCCCTCCCAGGAATGCCTTAGCCAGTCCCTCCGGATCTACCGGGCGGACAGACCACCCAGCTTGTGCACCCCTTCTCCTAGGAAAAGGAAAAAGCTTTCAGTGACGCGCCAGACGGAAGGCGCGCTCCTCAAGACCAAGTTCGGTATGTCAGTTGGCTCTCTTTGGTCTGTTCTGGGTCACACTCAGCTTACATGAGTGCTGCCGAGAACTTGGGGGACCCTTCGCGGTGCGAGGATGGAACCCCGGCGGCCCGCGTGCAAGCCAATCGCCCTGCCCAGTGAACTGTCGCTCGGGTCTCTCAATTTAACTCCAAATTCACCCCGAATAATTGCTTTTTAACCTATCGGGAATTGCCCTACTCGATAGGGGAGAGCTGGGGGCGTCTGGGGCCGTCGGGGGTCGCGCGCGCGGGGCAAGGGGACGCTGGCCACGGCTAGGGCACAGCCTGCAGATGCAGCTACGGAAAACCTCGCCGCTCCCTGCTGCCCGGACCCAGACAGCCGCACGAGAGGGGCTGCACGCGCTCGGGCCTGGGGTGAGGGGCGGGGTGGGGTAAGGATCTGAGGCGCCACGATGGCGCTTCCCGGAGAAAGCACACCGAGCATCACCAGCGTGTTACCGCTCAGCAGGGCTCTCGGTCCCGGGAAGGCCGGCCGGGCTGAGCCCAGTCCCCGGACGCCCGCGGGGGCGCACTCCTAGTAGTCAGTGCCACCCCAGAAACGACCTCCCGGCCCCTCTCACCCCCCCTCCAAGTCCACGTGGCCGCTCTCGGACTCGAGCCTGGAAGACAACTCACCCGAGCCGTGATGCGCGCTCGAAAAGGGAGGGTGCCCCACGGGAGCCAGTTTAAAAGGGACTCTGGGCGTCAGCGCGCGCGGTAGCCAACCACAGGGGCCCCCGCGCCCGGCCCGGCCCAGCACCCGCCCCCGAGAGCGGCGCCCGGAGGCCCGCGGGCGCCCCCTGCCGCCAGCCCGCCGAAAGCCAGGCGGGCCGCGCCCCAAGGCTCAGCCCCAGCCTCGGGGAGAACTTCTGTTCCCCAACCCTCGCTGAGTGATGGCACGAAGCTCCCGAAGCTCCCGGCACTCATTCGTTTCGTAGCTCCGTCTTCTCTACCCGTACCCCGTTTATTTTTCTTTTTGGTTTAGGGGGTCCACACCTGGAAATGCTTCTAGGTTACTCAGGAATCAGTCCTGGCTGTGTTCAGGGGACCAGAGGGGATGTCCGGGATCCAATTTAGGTTGACCACGTGTCGGCCACGTGCAAGGCAACTTACTCTTTAAATTAAAGCCCTACTTGCTGGATCATCTCTTCGCACCCCGTTTCTTCAAGTCCTAAGCAACCTCCTCCCCCCCCCCCCCCCGTACTTATTTTTAATTGCGAGACCTCTTAGATGTCTAATTATGTCAGGGAGGTGGTTGACTGCTTCTAAAGGAGTGAAGAGGAAGCATCATGGGGGGGAGTGGAGGGTGAAAGCACTTGAAGAAGGGGGAGGGGAGGCGAGGGAAGGACTCCCAGGACCTGGACTCCCACCTCCACGCCACAGGTTCTGAACACTAGTCTGTCTGGCTCCAAAGCATCTCTGATTCCTTGTCCTGGGTGTGTGGGGGGACAGTTGGGATGGGGTGTTCTGACTATTCTGAAATTAACTGACCATTGCCATTGACTGGAAGTCGTGCACAGAGCTGGGTACAGGACACAGGTACTGGGGTGGGTGGGTGTTGAAGTCCTAACCTTTACTTCTCATGAATGTGATGTTATTTGGAAGTAGGCTCTCAGCTACTATGAGCAGATTAAGATGAAGTCATGCAGATGGACTGTAGGTTTTTTTTTTTTTTTTACTTGAGATGCTGTGATTTGTAATACTGTCAGTGACGGTTTTGTGCCTATGTCATTTCAACACCACACTCACCACCACAATGCCTGTCTACCTCCACCAGTGCCTCAACCACCCACCTGCCACACAGCCTTAGTTCCTTGAACCAGCACTGCTGTTCTCTTACCTTTGGCCTTTTGTTACTCTGTTAACTGTGTGTGTGAGGGGAATCATTCTGCCCCTGTTCTCCTTCAGCATAATCTGACCATGTAGTGGTAAATTGCATGATTCTGTTCCTTTTCAGAGCTGTGTAGTATTCTATCATATATAACACTACTTCTTGAACCATTCATTCATAGTTGAACATTAGGGGTTTTTTTTCCACATCTTGGTTGTTATACTAAGGGCTGCAATGAAGATAGGTGTATATATATCCTTTCAAATGAATGTTCTTTTGTGCTTTGGGAGTAGGTGTCAAGAAGTAGTATTGCTGACTTGCATGAGTGCTACTTTTGCTTTTCTCAGAAATCTCCATATTGCTGTCCGTAGTGGTTTAATGGGGTGGACATTATAGTCAGGGATGGTGCTGCGGGATAAGCAGGGAGAACCCAACAGTGAGGACAGAGGCAGAGATGGGGATCATGCTGCTGAGTGCCCTGGACTGCCAATGGTAGTGGACACTGCAGGGTGCACACAGGCGAGACTCTCCCCTGAGGGTCACAGCTAGAGAAAGACCCTGCCAACACCTGGAGTTTGGACTTTCAGCCACTGGAACTGTCAGACAACTCATTCCTAGAGCTTTCACTTCATGCTACTCAGTCAAGACTAAGAAAACACTAATTCCATGCATGTGGGGATACTGAGGAAGAATGCCTTTATTCTCAGCCTGGGGTGTTCAGAGATAGCTCCTCAGAACCCCGGGAAGAGGTGTCTGTGCCCCATGTTTACTGCTGTGCCTGGTCTGGCATATTTGCTGGCACTTTGCAGGCTCTCCGGATATATTTGTGAAGGATGGACTGTATCTTGCCATGCAGTGGAGCTGGCAGTGGAACCACAATAGTTAACTTGGGATCACACTTTCCCCACCATAAGGGGTCTCTCTCTGTAAGTTGGCATCTGTAAGTTGCAGAAGCTCGCGTCTGCCTTCACAGTGACCTCATGCTACAACTGTCACATCCTGAACTGTCAGGCAGGAAGGCTGGATGGTGGTCAGGAGTGGAAGGAGTGAAAGGAGTGACTGTGGTCATCAGCCACAGTCCCCGAGCCCAGAGAATCCGTGTCCTCCCCCAGAGGTCGTTCAGAGCTGCATAAATGCAGCTGAATGGGAACCGCTGTTGCTCTTTCATTTGATTTTATCTTCAATCTGTCCCTGGAATTTTGGTGTTTAGGCCGTCTGGGAACTGGAGCATCTGAGATGGCTTATTTCACTGGAGATACTTAGGGAAGCAAATATTTATTAGAGTCCCTCTTGTGCCAAGTCCAAAGTCCAAGTGCTCTGGATATGAAGTTTGGTAAGAAACTGCCCCTACCCTCAAGGAATCAAGTAAGGTTCACAGCCTCATATAACTTCACAGAGTGTACCAAGAACAGCTCAGTGTCACTGAGCCCTGCCTGTTCAGGGAAGGCTTCCTGGAGGCGGTGGTACCTATGGTGAGTCTTAGCTGTACTGGCAGGTAGCTAATAGCACGTGAAAAATAAAGTGGGAAAGCCAAAGAGGACCTAATAGTTAAAAGTAAAACCTCAAAGCTGGGGCCAGAGAGATAGTCGAGGAGTTAGACACTCATCTTACAAGAGTCGAGCTGGTTTGAGTCCCAGAACCACCAGGAATGATGCTGAGCACAGAGGCAGGAGTAAGCCCTGAGCACACCAAGTGTGCCCCACCACTCAAATAAAAAGAATCACAAAGTAGAAGGAACTTTATAGATGATACAAAATTTTCTCTGCTTGGCCCAGATGATCTAGACTTCTCACCAGTCTTTGGGCATCCTCCAGATGCAGAGTGTCAGTTCTGTGAAGACGGGTCCCTTCTCCCTGGGTCCTCAGAATTCATCCTATTGCCTGCAATATAAATGGGTAAGGGGGAAATGACTTCAGGGAAAGAGATTCACCACATATTCCCAAAGGTGTTGTGTATTCATGCCCAAGAGAGAGTGCAGTGGGTTGGGCTCTTTCTTTGCATGCAGCCAACCTGGGTTTGATCCCCAGTGCCCCATATGATGTCCCAAACTCCCCCAGGAGTATTCCCAGTGATCAGAGCCAGGAGTCAGCCTTGAGCACTGCAGGTGTGACCTGAGAACAAACAAACAAACAACAAACAGAAATTGTCTTAATCATAGCCTGAAACTGAAGCCTCAGGCTGGTGGCTGTCTGGGGTCTGATCTCAGGCTGTGGACCCGCTAGGTTGCTGTGACAGGGGACTCTCTCATTGCCATCAAGCACAGGGCACTGGGCATTGTATAGGAAAAACTGTGGCCGAAATCCTGCTGCATTTCCTTTCTTTTTTTTTTCCTTTTTTGGGCCACACCCAGTGATGCTAGGATTACTCCTGGTTCTGCACTCAGGAATCACTCCTGGCTGGGGGACCATACGGGATGCTGGGGATCAAACCAGGTCGGTCGCATGCAAGGCAAATGCCCTACCCGCTGTACTATTGTTCTGGCCCCTGCATTTCCTTTCTTGACGTGTATGAGGCCTGCCTTTCACATATATGATAAACAATAGTTGACTCTTGAACATCATTAGTTTGAATTGCATGTGTAACTTTGTTGTTATTATTGTTTTTGTTTCACACGTGGTGGTGCTTGGGGGTTACTCCTGATTCTGCACTCACAAATTATTCCTGGCAGGGCTGAAGGGACCATATGGGATGCTGGGAATCAAACCCAGGTTGGCTGTGAGCAACATAAGTGCCTTACTTGCTGGATTATCTCTCTGGGCAACCTAAAAATATACTAGAATAAAATAAATTTCTTTGTTTGAGGAGCCACACACCACTCAGCAGTACTCAGGCTTACTCCTGTGCTCAGGCTCTGCACTCAAAGATCACTTCTGGTGGGGCTCCAGAATCATATGTGAGAAATCACACGTGGTGCTGGGGATTGAACCCAGGTCTACCACATACAAGACAAGTGGTGTGCTACCCCTGTACTATCTCTTTGGCCCCTTGCACATGTACCTTATGCTCAGAATCATTTTAGTCCCTTGTTTCTTTCTCCATGACCTACTCAGTGTGGAGACCACAAGGATGAAAACTTTTATTATCCATGTGGTATTTTAACAACGTTTGCTTTTTTCTAGTTTTATTAATAATTTTAATTTATGTATTAGGTACGTAAACATACCAAAAACATACCAAATGAGGGTTTATCTACTGGTTTTGTTATGGTGAGGCTTCTGGTCAACCACCTGCTATTAGTATAGCATGTAAGACGCTTGCCTGGTGCCCCATGTTGGTGTCCCAAACATTGCCAGGAGTGGTCCCTGAGCACAAAGCCATTGGTAAGACCTGAGCACAGAGCCAGGTCTAGTTCAAAAATGGAAGATGAGAGAGGAGACAGAGAGAAAGAAAGAGAGAGAGAGAGAGAGAGAGAGAGAGAGAGAGAGAGAGAGAAAGAAATCAAGTTATCAAGTTTGTGGTTCAGGGGAATCAAAAGTTAAATGCTCACTTTGATGGTACAGGTGATGTAGGTGAACCCCATGGGTAGTTCATGTAAGTCGGGAGGAGAAAGACAGTCACTTTCTCTTGATCTGCCCCTGCCACCTGGGACCCAGGGTTACTGGGTTCTTGTCTCGCTCGCAGAAAAGAAATTTCAGGAGTAGACAGTGAAGTAAAACAGATTTTATTTGAAGGATATTTGAAGGGAAGGAGGAAGAGAAAGTGGGAGAGAATGGAGAGTAATGTGCTCAAGAGAGAACCCAGGCTTCTGCAAGGGCGGAGAGAGCCCCTACACACTTTCCAGTGTTAAATAGGAAGGCATGAAAGTACACATCTCAAGAGGGGAGATGTGGGTGGCACATGTGCTCAGGCACCACATGTGCTCAGCCACATAGGTGCAAACAGCACATGGGCTCGGGCAGCACATACGTGACCTCCCTTTGTTCGAGGTGT